TTTGGGTGTCTACAGGCAGGAAGGCATCAGGAGCCCAGGGACAGGCATGCAGAGCTGGATGAAACCTTCACCATGAAACCTGGAGCAGCACAGCCTCACCAAAGCCCAGCTTCCAGCCCCTGGTGTCCCTACATACCCCAGACCCACTCACACTCACTTATTCTGCCTTTACACAAATCAAGAACTGAGGTCTGGAGAGACCTCCTTCCTTCCTTGCAGGACACAGCCAGGGAGGAGATGGTTCAAAAGTCAATCCAACAATGATGGTGTGGGCTCAGTTTATGAGAACAGACCCATTTTATGGCTCTTTTTTTGCTTGCCTTACCAGCACAGGCAATCAGATGGTGGAATGCAGCAGCCCCTGCCAGCTACAGCGGTGTCACCTCCACCTGCTGGCAGAATGACCAGAGCAGGGGGCACTGTGCCCACCCTGGGGCACAGGGACACCCCAGACCTGCACATGAGCTCAGCACAGAAGCTCAGCTGGGAGGTGAGCTCAAAGACAGCTCAAGCTCTCTCAGAAAGCTCAGAGCTGATAGAGCAAGGCTGCAGAGGTTTGGAGGTGATGGGGCATTTCTGGTGCACACCTGGCACCTCTGGAGCCCAGCTGGACACAGGGAGCTCAGGCTGCTGCCAGGATACACAACTTACCCACACAATTACCTCGTGCCAAAGCCAAATCCCCATCTCATTGTCCCAGGCACTCACCAATCTCCCTACACAAACAAGGGCTAGAACTGGAAGCAGGAAAGGAAAACAAATATCTGAGAGAAATATGCAAGAGACTGCATATCTTATTTATGCAAAATAGAACTCTTATTAAAAATAAGAAAAGGGTTTATCTAACCTGTGGGTCACAATTAGCCTGGCCAGACTCAAATTATCTGCCATGACAGTTCAACATGTCAACTTAATCAACAGGATTCAGTTGCTTCTTGTCAAAACTGCTTTGAGCATCTCAGTTCTAACAAAACAATTTTTCTATGTTGTTTCCCTTAAATTCTTTGGCTTCAGTCCCACTTCACACATCCTGTACAAACAGCCTAAAACCAGCACTTGGGACAAGACAGCACCTTCCAAATTCCCTATAAAACCCCGTTCCCCTAGCAAGAAACTTGCACTTTGCTCAGCCTTCTTCCTAAATTCCACTGCAAATGCCCCCTCCCACATATTTACTTAAGAAATGTGTGCCTTTAATGTATCTTTGGTAAAGCAAGTAGGATAATGTCTGTGAAGATATCCAAGGAAAAAACAGGCAGCTGAGAGGGGAGACAGATTCTCAGTTCATGAAAATTATTTATACCTTCCTTGACTGTAGGATAATACTTCAGTGACTTATCCCACTTAAAGATCAGCTTCTGTTTTTTTGGGAGAATTTTACATGGTAACACAGCTATTTGGCATTTCTGAATGGGTGTGGAACACTCAGCTGAGCAGGACAAAACTAAGGAAGTTCCCCCTCCATATACTTGTTAAAATTAGTGTTTATGTAACACTTCAGGCACCATAAATAACACTGATTTTGTAATATACAAACTACACACTGAGCATGCAATTCAGTTTTCCTACTTTTATGCTGCTGAATATACCTGAAATTCACTTTTAATGAAATACAGCCTAATTTCACACTTATTAGTGATTTTTATTTTCTTTCGGGAAAGGAGTGCTACAAATGCTGGTACCACTTCCACCACCCAGGACTCTGCATTCCATTTGTCTTTAACTATCAGAGAAAGACTCAGCTATTCCCCATTTTGACAAGTTATGTTTATAGAGCTGAAACAGCCCAGGGCAGTTCAGCGTCACCAGAGTGGTGAGAGATAAACACCCCAGAGGGCTCTGTGTGAACTCCAAGGGGTTGGAACAGGTGATAACACACAGCAGAGTGTCTGGAGCAGGATTAGCAAATGTTTGGCTGATTTAATCCCATTGTTACCAGGATCTTTTGTATGTCACTGTGCTGGCCCATGGAATCACCTCAATGTTTTTGTAAAGGATGCCAGGGCCAGGCAGGAAAAACACTGCAAGGTATTTGCAGGAATGGAAATAAAGACATTCCAAGTTGGTTTTGTTCCCACAGACACAGCTTTCCATGCACACTGACATCCAAAACCAGCAGCACACTCAGACCTGGATGGAGACAGCAAGCCAAGCTCACTGGGGTTTGGGAAGTGTCTGTTTCTGCTCCAAGAGATCCAACTTCTGCCAGAAATCACTCGAGACTTATTTGGAACAAATTGCACTAAACAAACACTTTTCCAAACCATCTCTCACGCCTGATTTTCCATGCTCATCTTCCATTCTGCTTTTGGAAACATCCATGTATCTTCCTAAAACATATCTTAAAATGAGGATTTTTTTATTTTTTCAAATATTCATTGCTTAAATTTTCTCCCTAAATTAGTCTTCTTCACTGAACACAAGTTAGTGGTAGAGCACTAAGCTCAAAGTCCACCTGGCTGTCAAAAGATACAATTCAAATGAACTGTTCCCTTTATCCCACATGAAGCTACAAGCTATCTGCAGCCAAAGGAACACACAGATACAAACTCCTACAAAACTTGAACCTCTGCAGAGGTGACATCTAAGGAGGATAAGGAGCAGCAAGGAGCCACCTACCTACAGAGGGATTTCACAGGACTTGGGTGGAAGATGAGGTGCCAAGGCTGGCCCCTGGAAGGGTTCTTTCCCCCCTCAGTGGAGACACCGTGAGCAGGCTACGTTTGCAACCCTCTAGAACAGTCCCTGGAAGAAGCCTTGCACACAAACAGCACACAAGTTGTGCATGACACGATCTGGGCATTATCAGTCCCAAGAGACACCAGATCCTTCCAATCTTCCTCTCTACTGAAGCCATTTCCCATACCTTTCACAAGACAAGGCTGTTACGCACCTCACTGAGTTCAGGTCAAAAAGAGAAGCAGCTGTTTGCTTACAGCTCAGAGAGACAATTTCACCTTCATCTGCACTTCCAAAACCAAGCTAGGAACAGGTATGTCTTCCTCCTTGCAAGTTCTGTCTTCACAAAAGGCATCCTGATCTGTAGCTCCTGGAGTGAGGCACACAGCCAGCTGGGGCTCAGCTTGCTCCCAGCATTTCCCAGGGAGCCCACGAGCTGCAGGTGACCCCACAAACCCCAACTTTCACCTCTTACAAATGCACAGGGATAGAAACTAAGGTATGGATAGCCATGCACACCAATTATCTGCTCCAAATGAAGCCTTCCATACCGTGCCTTGGATCATCACCTGATGCGAGTGCTGCAGTTTCCCTGCCAGGCTGATACAATTCACAAATGAAATCAAACACCCACAGCTCTGGGCAGGAGTGTCAGACTTCACAGAGCAGAGGAGGATGAGCCATCCTGCCTGTACCCACACCTTCAGCTGTGTGCATGCACAGAAACAAGGGCTGGGGCAGCTTGTGTTTCTTTTCAGGGGATGCCAGCATGTATCTTTTAACCATCACTGTTGATTTAGTGGTGTGCCGTCAGATCTAGTTCCCACTCACCTACTCCATTCTTCTTAGGGCACCTAGGATGGGTGTGTCGACTCAGGTGCACATAGTATGGATTTCTGGGACTTTTCCCCTCTTTTCTTTAGTGAAAGCAAACCACAAAAGCCCACAGGCAGTTTTGTCAGCCCAGACAATGAAAAATCTTTAATGACAATGAAGTCCAGTGTTCCCCTGCCAGTAACACACTGTCATTCCTTCTACATCACCCAAACTCATCCTTGTTCAACCATGAACTGCTGACACTGGCACTTACCTCCTCTGGGCTCTGGTCTGACCAGAGAACCTCTTCCCACCCATGTCCATGGCTCTCTAAAAATGCAAAGCCAGAGAGGGGTAAAACCAGGCTCCAGCTGGAAATATTTTCCAGCTTTCCCATATAACTACAGAGCATCCTTCCCAGTACTTAGTCCTGCAGAGGCTAACTGGAAAAGGCAGTGTTGCCCCTTTCTACATGGACAGAAAGCTGCTCACTCTGGAAATGGTAAAGACTGCAGGAGGACAAGACTTTGGTTACAATCTAGCAGTTACTGCCCACTTACACCTGGCTCTTCTAAATACCAGATTTGTCATCACTTGTACTTTATATTAGATTTCGACCTAGGCAGAGAAAAAAAGGAAAAAGGGTTACCACTGGCTTATTTTAAGCTCTGTCATAAATCCTGTAAAACTCTGTTTAGACTGTAAATGAATCACATGTTGGATGTAGCTGTTAGCATAACATTTGAAATTCCATGCTCAGTGCAAGACTATTGCCACTAAGTAACTGAGGGTTCTGAGAGTTCTGGGGAATCTGTTTGACATTTTGTCTCCTTGTAGGAGCCCTGCAGGGAGCAGGTGGGTTTGGGACCCCAGGTGAGCAGCAGGCAGCCTGTGCTGGCTCCCCAGAAGCCACATCCCATCCACCCATTACACAGCCTGAGCCAGGGAGGGTGGCTGGGTTGGTCTCCACAGTGGGGGAGTTGGTGGGAAATAATGTTGTGAGAATTAACACATGAAACAGCCTAGGAAAAAAGTCAGAAGCTATTTGAATCTCAACTAAATACACAGTAAAAGAAGACAAATTGCTGTGGCAGATACCTCCTCCTGATCCAAGGAACAGAGGTAAGGCTGTCAGAACCCAAGGGTAGAGATGGAGAGAGGACTACTGTGGCTGTCCCAAGCAACCCCTCATGGCTTTTCCCCTGTAAGCTCCCTCCTCCCCTGGCAGTGAAAAGGAATGCTTTCCAAGCTGCATTCCTGGCCTAGTGGAAGGAGCAGTGGTGCAAGGACCTGGACCTTTTTACCTGTCTGTAACTGGTAAACACTGACAGATCCAATCCATCCCAAGAGATGGATGTGCTGAAAGGCAGCCCCTGTGCTGGAGGAGCAGCAGGGCAGGAGCTGAGAGCTGGAGCGAGCAGGGACCGGCTGTGCCAGCAGTGGTGCAAGGCTGCTACAAAGCCCCAGGGCCATGGGGACAAGACATTTACCATTCACCAAAGCCAGGCCAGTGACTCCACAGGATTTATTCAAAACAGGAGAAAGATTTCTTCCCAGACCTCATGGAACACACGAGTACAGAAGACAGGGAAGGTGTTCTCACCAACACACTGAGATTGCAGAGCTACCCCTCCCAGCATGCTGCCACAGGAGTCCCTGGAGCAGGAAGATGCTGCCCTTCCCAGCTCTGCCTGTGTTTCAGCACGAGAAGCAGAGAATGCTCTCCCTCCCCATCACTCATGAAGCATGGAATTGGCAAACCTGCTCCCCCCACCTATGCAGAAAAGCACACAGCAGTCAAGAGATCCCCTCTGTTGGCTTGCAGAGGGCTGGAACTCATCTAGCAGCAACTCTGTAATGTTTGTGTTAATGGGTACAGCAAATAATTCATCAACAATTGCAAAGGTAGAGCAGCAGAGAGCTGGAAAAAGGCACCAACTTCCAGTGAGTTCTCCCATTTGTGCCTTGGAGCATCTTCCCAAAACCTTCCTGATAAGGATTCTTCTGCACTGGAAAAGGAAATTATTACTAAAATTTATTTTAAATTATTAAAAAAAAAGTAAAAATATTAGAAAGTCTTGCAAGATTCACCAAATTATGAATTGCTTTCCTCTTCCTTTGCCAAAAATGTCACCTGAGTGGTTTCAGAAGTCTTACAATTTGGAAGGAAGTTCACAGACTGTTTATAAAATCAAATATTTTGGACTAGAAGTTTAGCTTATCATTACACAGCTTGACAGCATTTCCATAAATTAGCCCTACTCTGAAGAGCTCCTGACTATGGGAACAAATTCTAAACGTTTTTCATGTTTCCCAATGGCCCAGGTTTTTGGCTGTCACAATGCCTTTGAAGCAAACCAAACTGTGTTCATTGTATGATCCTGACTTGTGCAATCTCTGCTTAGAAAGCCTCTCCTGTGCCTCCCCTACACCATCACTGGCTGAGATGAAGCCAGAGGTATCCACGTGCTGCGAGAGCCTGGCTCCACTGGAGTCCATTTATTGCAGCCAGGTGGCTGTACCACAGTGAGCCTTACAGCTCAGAGCTGGTCAACAAAGTCCTAAGAGCAAGCCTTGCTCATGGAAGAGCTGTCAAAACACACCAGTGCTTAGACCTAACAAATCTGACAACCCTGATTAAAAAAGTGCTTTGAAAGTCAAGGAAAACTGAACACAGTAAAACCAATCTAGCAATGCACTTTTCGGAAGCCAGGCAGGGTGACTTTGCCGTGAGTGTAGATGTCCTCATCTGTGCCCTGGTTCATGTGCTTCACCAAGTTCTTCTCAAACAGGAGGGGGTGGTAAGCTCCCATGGTGCAGGCGTGGTCGTGGAACTTCTGGTAATAGTGGCAAATGTCCGTCTGCCGCTTGGAAGGGAGAAATTCGTACACGTCCACTTGGTCACACAGCGTCATCATGAGCACGATGCCTGGGGAGGGACAGAGAGCAGACACCCCCACGTCACACCACCGACAGGATTCAACATTCCAGAGGGACAGGCAGACAGCAAGGGGGTTTCCTTTATTAACATTCAGAGCAGAGGGGCAGAAAACAAGTCTGGCCAGACAGGGCTCTTTTCTGAAGCTCTCCTTGCCAAGTGCATGATTGATGTGATTTCGGCAGGTTGTTTACACTGACAGCCATGCCAAAAGGACAATTTTTAAGAGTGCTACCATTAGCTGCGACCTTCATGGAAACTTGGGTGTCCACCAAGCATGCACTGCAATGAGCTGAATCAAACAGCCCGTCCCAAACCTGCCTGGATAAGCAGAGGTGAGACCTTTGCATTTGTCCCAGATGTGAGCGCAGGGAACATCAAAGGGCCTGTGCTGGGAGATGCTCAGGGAGACTGAGCAGCCTCTGCTCTTCAGGCTCCCTGGAGCAGAGCAGTGCTGCCCTCCTGTGTCTCCTCACCCGAGGACATCACACCAGTCAGTGCTGGGCACAGCCACAGCAGCCATAGTTACTGGCTGCTTTTCTTCCAAGTGCAAGAAACAGCCAGAATATACCAGAGACACTGAATCAATGTGTAACACCACAGAAAATGCATGCAGGGTCTGAGGCACCAGGGACCATGTACAACCTGAGAACTTTAAGACATTAAAAGAAACTAAAGTATATTTTAAACATGTTTTCATACACCTTTTCAAATGAAAATTTTTGATCACACTTCCAGGGAACACAGAGCTGGAAACTGGAGCTCATCTATGCCCTTGAATTTGCCAAGGTGACTTGTTTAACAAAGCAAAAATTTGGCAAGGTGACTTGGCCCAAAGTTAAGCCCCAGAGGAACTGCTGTCTGACATGTGTCTTCAAGCCCGTAACTCCAGTTAACAATTCTGCTGAAGTCATTGACTATGCTGTTACACAGCTGCTCCACACATATCCAAACAATGGTTTAATAGGTGCTGGGCCTGGCAAATAATGAAACAACTCTGTTTACACAGAGACAGAAAGTGCCTCTGTCCCAGCAGTGATGGAGCAGAGGTGGGAGCAGACAAAGGGTGGAAGCACAGCAGTTGGACATTCATGGCAAACAAGACTCTACATCTATGCTGTGATTTCAAATACATGGCAGCTTCCCCAGAGGTTCACTCTTTTTTATTCAGTATATATATATATATTTGTGTGTGTGTATATAGATTCTCATACACATAATATAAATAATATAGGGAAAAGAAACAGGCACATGTTTAGAATTCATTTACAGTAATCAGATTTATTTGCCTGACCAGATCTGAGCCTGCAGGAGACACATCCTTTCTCTCACACCCTGTGGGAACTGCTCTGGTACTAGAAGCTACAAATCCTAGAGACCACCCCAGTGGTGCAGTCTGCTCTCCTGTTTCCACCTGGAACTGGGCCATGTTTGTGACTGCTGTTTCAGGGGAGTGCTGCAAAACACTTTAATACAACTGAGCTGCTGCTCTGAAGACAGGAAGCTTAAGTTTTGGCACTAGACAAACACTGTAAAAACAATTCTGATAAGCACCATAAATTTGTAGTTGTCTTTGAAAAAAGGCACCTTGGAGAGCTCTGGCCTGCAAACTGAACCAGAAGTTTAGAGGGCAATTACCTTACCAAGCATTATCTTACCAAGCATTCCTGATGATGGTGGATTAGGTTGAATATGCTCCAGGGAATTCTCCTGCAGAATATCCCAGAGCTGCCACTGCATTTTGGGATTCAGGATATAGAAGGGCTGCTCCGGATGCGCTCTACGATATGCCTTATAGCTTTCAAAAAAGTTGTAATCTGGTTTTCTGTACCACTGCAAAACAGAAACAGGAGGTCAGATTCTTTATTACTGGCCCACTTTTCTGTAGCCAACAGGGAACAAGGATGAGTGAGAACCTGCTGCTGGTGGGGAAGGAGATCCTGCTACACACCCTCACTCACTGTCCCCTTGGGCCACTGGCGAGCTGACCCAGTAAACAGAGCAGGGAAACCCCAAATCTCAATGACAGACCATTGAATGGGATCAGGATATTTTGTAATTTCATTCTGCACTGCCCAAGACCAGATGATGTTGAGAATTCTGCCTTAAATCTTCCAGAACCAGATCCTTCTCCACATTGGAATACCAAGCATCCTATTCTGCAGGCAAGTGTTCCCAGCTCAGCCTCCTGAACCAGACTGAGCTGATTTGCATCCTTAAATTTCCCCTTTCAGTAAAAACATAGGAATGGTTTATATTTTCCTAAAATTATTCAGAGGGGTTTTTTTTTCCCTATGCTGTAAGTATCCCATCCTGGTTTTACTGACTCTTAAACTTGCTGTCCATAGCCCCTTATGCCTCCTGAAGCCCTGGGACCAAGTACAGAAATAAACATCAGGGAGAAAATAGGAAATGCAGGCCAAAGAAAGGAACGCAAAGACCTCTCAGTTACAGCCAGAGCTTAAAATAAAAGTAAAGAATAGACTATTCACTCCTACCTGCTTTCACTGCGAGCCTTCAGAGCTCATCACATATCCAACAATGCTTTTTTGTACTCTAAATCAAAAGTTAATTGCTAGAGGGATTGCACACCCACATGTGAAAGCTGACACAGATCTTCAGAGGGTTTCCCAATCCATTCATAATGCATCAACTATATCCCATGGCTGCCTGGTGCTTGAAATATCCAAGCATCAACCATCAGCAAATCTTAGATTAACTGTCAGAGAGAGGAAATCATCCTGAGACAACTCCTACAGCCAGCAGTGACCTCCTCCCTGTGACATCAGCCCATGGGAAAGGAAAGGTGGTGACCCATTAATGATCCTTGGCCTGAGGGCCTTTACAGGCATCAGAAGCAGGCAAGTGTTTTCTTACTCATGCATGGGATACTCCCAGAAGTACACACAGATACATCCACAAAACAAAACAGTGAACAAGAATGGCTTTAGAATGAGTGATTGCCCACATCAGGAGGAAGTGGCTTAACTGAAGCACTTCAAAGCATGGGAATCTGCTTTTATTGACAAAAAACTCAGCCTTACCTCATGAATTTCTGCATGATATGGTGCTGGATCCCAGACAATTAAGATTCCAGTGTTATATAGTGGTTCCCTCAGGAACTGCTGCTCTTCAACAGTTACAAGCTTGGAAAACAACAACAGATAAATGATATGCAGTATGCTATCAGAATTAGCAGGCAGCCAAGCAATAAAACACCTGAAAACAGCCAGAGCCACCCCAGTGCTGGTTACTGAGCATGGCACACTGTGTGCAGCAAGGACACAGCTCCAGCAATGCCCTTCCAGCACCCAGGCCAGTCCTACCTAGCAGCAAAGGACTTGTGGAGAGTCACAAGAAAAGCCTTTACAAGGCTTTCTATCCATCTCCAGTAACAAACTAAGGACAGGAGCCTCAGAGTTACCCAGCCTGAGTGAGGATCCTATCACCACAATACCAGGAGCAGGAGGGAACACCAGCTGCTGCCAGCAGTCACCACACAGTCCAGGCAGAGCCTAATGCAAACACACTGTTGGCTTTATCAAGAACCTTTATTTAACCCAAAATCAAGGCCTGCAGGTAGGTGCATGGTTTCTCCTCAGCAACAGGAACCCTGGCAGCCAGTGCTCAGCCTACTGAGACCACCAGCACAAGAGAGGAGAGACTACAACATCCCCAGTCAATTCCACCTTGTGCCAAGCCCCCATGGCCTCTGTAGAGCAGGGATGGGACAGCTCAGGCAGGGGAGGTTTGAATCTCCTGAGAGCAGAAATGAGAAGGAAAGCTTCAAACAGAGTTCTCTCTATACACTGGACATAACCACCAGTGCTTGGGACACCCAAGGGCAACTCAGGTCTGCAGCAGAAAGAAAACCATCCTAATCAAGCAATTAATCTTCTGTCCTCCCCCCCCAAAGTCATAACCTGTACAGGCACAGCTCATAAACAATGTAATCATAAATCATAATCATAAATATCTGCTTCCATTTGTCCTGATTTTCTCCACAGATCTAATTATGAGCTATCCAATTAGTCCTTGAGCATCCTGGCTGCCTGCATGGCTGCCCCCATAACCAGAGCAAAAGGATGCTGCAACCAGCCCAGATGGGAATTATTCCAAAAGCAAGAAGAGTTTCCTCACATCTGTTGTTAACTCTATGGGATTAGGCCTTGACCACGTGCACTGCCTGGTTTCATTTCCTTACAGCAGCTGAAATATCTAAGCCACTGACAGCTGGAGTGTGCAGTGCTGCAGGTGTGAATACCTGCCTGCAGCCTGTGGACACCAGAGGCAAAGAAGGGCTCAGCAGCTGGTACCAGCCATCCCCTCAGCTGAGCACAAGTGGGATGGAGCACTGCAAAGGGGCAGGAATATGGCAAAGAGCACGTGCACTTTATTTTCATTCCATTGTTTCTGTAGCCATGCCAGTTGGCAGAAGCACACAAACCCCGAGAGAGCTGTGACAGACACAAAGGCAAACACAAGAAACCAGGTGGGAGCACCTGCACAGCCACTCTTTGCTGTGTTCTCCCACACACCAGAGATGGCTCCTGGCACAGCCTGTGAGCTGTCAGTCACTTAACCTGTCTGCTGGAGGAATCTGGCTCCCCATTTACCTTTAGTGTCCATTTGTTGTTTAACAGCGACTGATTCTTCTAAGTAGTAAAATTCAATTAAAATTACTACATGACTGACTTGTCTTGCCCAGATTTTTGATTCAATTAGTTAACTGATCTATTGGTTTTCTGATTTCTTCTTTAGCCAGTTCACTGTGTAACAATATCTTAATACAGCCCCTACCCTTTTAGTACATTTATTGGCCATATGACAAAGACTTCCTTCTTTCCTGCTAGCAGCAGTCAATGTCCTGGAATCTAAATATGCTCTCCCTTCCAACCACAGCCTTCCTCCATTCCACTGATGTGCTATCTCCTCTCTCTTCCTCTCTGCACACTCTTAGTGCCAATAACAGCAAAGGCAGCCAGAGCACAGAGTGCTCTCTGTGACAGCCAGAAGCCAGCCCAGTAGAACTGGAAGCAAGGGCTGGGAGGAATGAGGCACTCTGGCCATGGTCAGCTCTGCAGAAAGGAGCTCTGGCCTCCAGCATGACCTTGGCACTCCCCTCACACTTCAGCCCTTCCTTTTGCCAGATGTGACTGCTTTCCCAGGGCAAACCAATGCCTTGAGTCAGACTGCAGGAAAACATGCCATTAAAAAAGCAGCAGTAATGATGAACCAGTCAAAGCCTGAGAAAATAAATGAGGCAACATTAAATCTTCATTTAGAATAACTACCAGGCTTGTGGACCTACAAGCATATCCTCAGATCTGGAGGTCCCAAATTTCTTGCCTTTCTGTCAGTACCAGTCTGTTAATCTTTCTGTGGGCACAGATGTACAAGATACTTAAACCATCCACCCCATGTATGTCCTAGAGACTGGCCAGCAAATCACAGAAAAGGATCCTAAAATAATTATTAAGAAACTGAGGGCCACTGGCCATGTGTGCCAAAGGGATATTACTCAATACAGACCAGCTTTGACAGATCAGATTCAGGAGATCCCATTTCCTTCACTCTGGCAGTGGAGTGAGGATTAATCAGCAGTAAGAGCCAAAATAAAAGCAGCCAAGCCCCAAACCCATTCCTTTTCCCAGTTACAAGAAAAGCCAGCCCAGCACAAGGACAAATGACAGCTTGTCCAGTACCTGATGCCTGTAAGAGCTCTGAGCAAGGCAAGATAAGGCACAGCTCCTGCAGTGAGCTAAAAAGAGAATGTGATCAGGCCACTCCACTAACAAGAAGGTTTAAATGACGTCACCCAGACTAGAACATCACTGAACCATTCAATGTGCAAATGAAAATGGGTAAGAAAACCAGGCTTCCCATCCAATGGTCTCTGAAGTTAGCAGGGACTGCAGTCACAGCTGCTGAGATGAGACTCCTGCACTACAAACACAGAAAATCTTTTTCCCTGCTCAGCAGCCAGATCGATGCTGCCTTTTGAGTTAACTTTAGCCCCTAAAAACTGCAGCAATATTATTCTCCCTGTAACTGAAGTTTTCTAAGGTGGTGTCTCCATTCAGAAGGAACACGAGCTGTGACTGCAGGCTGAATGGAGGGCAGAAGCACTGTAATGACATGGCTGTAACTACATTTGGTTCAAAGTAGGTGAATCCACATGGACAGTCCTATCACAACCACACAGTTACCCTCCTCCCTGTGCAGATAACACTGATAGCATACAGGTCATGCACGTATTTTCTCTTCATATCACTGTAAGCCTGGCCATGAGCACATCCTCCAGAGAAAGTTTGTTTAAGTGATAGCACCTATCTGACATCAGAAAAATACACAGAGACAGGAAAGATGAAAAAAAAAAAAAAGTAAGATTTCAAACAGGGCTCAGAAAGGACAAACTGTCACCCTTCTGACTGGGGGTTTCATGCAGGGGAGTCAAAATGAAGCAACAGCAAAGAGCATGGCAGCAAGGCAAGAGGGACCCAAGGGCAGAAACAGCATTCACACAAGGAGCAAGAATATCCTTTAAAAGACACACAAAATGAACTAGGCAAACTGGTTACACATTAGTTCTGTGTCTTCTTGCCTTTGAAGAGGATGGTCAAGCTCCTGTTGCTGTTCTGAGAAACTTCAGACCTCATTACACAGCAGCATCTATGCACTCCTCACACAGGGGCAGGTGAGAAAACTCCAGGCCTACAAATCTTAGCTTCAAGGTAAGGAAAAGAAACTGCCTTTTTGGTTTGGGATTACAAAAGCAACACTTCAGCCCTTCATCTCTCCCTCACTCAGTTCCTCAGCCTTCATGTGCCCAAAACCTTCTCTTCCCTCTTGTGGGGTGAGGAGGTGCTTGTACTCAGTGCTGCAATGCTGCACCAGGTCTTTTAACCTAATGACTCCTGGCCTGTTTGGTCCTCCTTCATTCTCTCACCAACACATCCTACTGTGATTTCCTCTTTTCTCTGCCATGTCTACACTTGAAGATTTTTCCCCCCAAAAAGGACAACCATGAAGGGTAACAGGTCTGTGGAGGAAAGGTGCAAAAGCTCTGAGATGTGTGTACAAGAGCAAGGGTCTATTGCTGGACAAGTGGCAGACTGACTCTGCTAATGTCCTGTGACACGTGGGTCTAACCCTGAGAGTTTGCTTCACAGCCTGCTGCTGCCAAAGGGAATCAGCAAAGGGACACTTTGATACCTACAAAGAGCTCTCAGAGGCTGGGGAGATTGAACTCTGTAAGCAAGGCCTTGCATTAAAGGCACTTTTTGCCATGCTCTGCAATGAGGTCCTGGAGCCACCAGATCCCATCCCTCTCCTGGCTGTGCACAGGCTCCAGCTTTAAAGGTGGGTCTTTTGTTAAGTGTCTTCAGCCATGTAGCAGCCCTGGTTAATGTGTTATCTAGAGAGTGTGCAACACTGCTGGGCAGTAAAGAAACACTGTTCTTTTATTGAAAGTCAAATAAAGGTCCTTCATTCTTCATCCCCATCTCTGGGGCAGGCACAGCTCATCTCTTGGCACACCTCTTCTTGCTGACCTGCAGTGGCTGATTCTTGTCTCTCTCTCCAAAGGCACAGCAGCAGCACGGAGCTGGCCCTCCTGTGCCTACACAGAGCCTTTGAGCAAAGGTAAAGCACAAATGACCTTGTGCCTGCTGTAAATCACAAGCAGGCTACTGCAAGTTTGCAGGTGCGTGCCAGTGTCACTCCAGCTACCTTGGATTTACCAACTGTCCCCAACCCAAGGAGAGACATCCCCACCCTATAGCAATGTGCTAAGGACAGGAGAAATCAGATGGACAGCCCTGTTCCTCCCAGCTCCCAGCCAGTGCAGCTACACAGCTCTGCCATGCTTGGTGCACATTCCTCAGACCTACCTGGGAATTCACAAGACGAATTGTTGTCTTTTGCCCCACATCATCTTGGAAGCCCCTGACAGGAGCCCCATTGAACCGCAAGACGGCGTCGTGGCTGTCTGAAAGCCAAACAGAGGGAAAACCTGTGAGCCAGCAACTGGGTTTGAGTGATACCAGAAACAAGTGACATTATTCACCTGCACTTCTAATACAATCTGGCTAATCCCTGGCTTTCAGCCTAACATCTAGAAGCAGCAAGTCAGATTCTTTGGAGGAAGGTATGGCTCAAACTTCATGACCAATACACTTTTTAAAACCTGCTCTTTAAAATTACAAACTCACTACCAGATTGAGAGCACAACCCTAGTATTTGTTCTCCCTCTTTCTCCTTCCAAACACTTTACCAGGAGATAGACCAATACACAATTCATTTACCACATGGCTGGCTGCAAACTAAGAAACCAAGAAGCAGTGGCAAGCCAGCATCCTCTCTTGCAGCCTGGAGGCTGACCAGCCCCAGAAACATGTACACCAACCACAGTGACCTCAGCCTGCCAGCATGCCTCCCACAGAAACAAACCCACTGCTGTGCCCTCAACAGACACAGCTTCTTACATGCCTTGGGATTCACTGCATTTTCCTCTGCTGGAATCATCTCTTAAGATCGCACAGCACTCCTCCAGCACCCTCCTCTGCCTTGGCACAGCCAGCCAGGCCACTGTAATGTCCTGGAGTCTGCCTGCTGCTGTGACATGCAGGGCAGTTGTGCTTGACACCCAGGCTTCCCCCTGCCTTGTGGCTGCATTTGGATAAGAAACCTCCCCAGTGATCAGAGGGGCTGAGTTAGAGAAGCAGGATCATCTTTCCTGCATTCACACTGAGGGCACGACTGCGACACAGCACCTGCAGTCAGGGTCTGTGGGAATTGCCAAGTTCCAGGGCAGAAGGACACATCTGGTCCAGAACTGGGTCTTTTTGAGATCATTTTCTTGAAAATGGGAGTGCTCCAACAAGCAATGCTGGAGGATCAGTAATCCCTAGCAGCAAAGACTGATTTCTCAGCTATTTTATTCTCCCCAACAAGTGGGGCTCCCTTCCAAAGCACCATCCAAAACCAAGAAAGGTGATGTTTCTGGAAAGAAGTGTCTCCATGCTGAGAAGTGCCTCTGTGGTTACCACTACAGACCCTTAGCTCCACATCCTACCTTGCACTAATGCAATAGAGGGTTGTGATTTCCCCAAATATAACTTCAGCCAGACACCAAGCATTAATATTCCCCAAGGTTGCACATTAAAAGGGTGTTCAGTGACTGCTCAGGCAGAGTAGCTGGCTCACTTTCTCCAGGTGGTTGTGCTACACTTGATATCTCTCACATCAGATTTTTCAGGGATAATTTATAACCTTCAGTAATACCAAGAGCCCAGAAAAAGGTGGTTGTTTACAACCCTGTGCTGCTTTGCCAGCCTCCCTTACTTTACCTAATTGCTCATTTGATAACTTAACATGATTACATGGAAAAAATATTTCATGGAACAATAACTCAGCAATCCATTGTGCTCATTTACACAAGTACTTCACTTTAATCTTGTAAGATTTAGTACCTTGTCAACAACTTCCTCCAACAACATCACATTTCCTACATGGAAAAAGTGGAGAAAAACCTACAGAAATACACTGAATGCTCTTGAATCCTTAATACTCACCCTGCCCAGCTCAAGGCTGCAAGTGGTCAAACTCTGCAGAAGCACTAGAAGAATTAAGTGATTGAGCAGAAAGGTGAAAGTTTGTCACCCAGGCAGGAGAAACACAGGGCAGGGACACCAGCAGGGGTTAATGGCATTTGCCTCAGGCACACTACACAGTGACCTCCCCAGCATCCATCCCTTGTGATCTGGAACAAACCAGTGCTTCAGTCAGGGGAGGGCTCAGACAGCGGCTGTGGGAACAATGAGAGGGCTTTGCTTGTCTGACATCTGTGCAGGAGCCAAAGCACAGCCCATCCCACTTGGCTGCTCCCATATCCAATCCAGAGAGCAGGGGCTGCATTCCACCACTCCAGAGCATCACCTCCCACTCCTGTGAGGGTCTCCTTCCACAGGAACAGGCACTGGCAGCAGTGCTGGAGCCTAACACAGACACCCCTGGGCACAAGCCAGCTGAGCTGGGGAGGCTGTTCATCACAAGGTCACTTCTGGGCAAACCTTTAGCTCTGAACTCCAAGAGGCACCCAAACAAGCTGAGTCAAGTACTAGAAGAAAAAGTTAGAACTGGCTTCCCAAGTCTTGACCCATCTCACTTCAAACATTCCTAAGAGGCAGAAACATTTAATCAACCAACTCCCACCTGCAATTTGTACCAGGAGGCAATGCTGTTGTTCATTGCATATTTCATAGCATTTAAACACACTTCCAACTGCTCAGCCTTCCTCTAGCTCCTGCTCACCTGCCATGTGGATACAGAGGAGTTTGGGGGACAACTTCTGAGCAAGAACTAAACACTATCTCCCACGAGGGACTATGATTCTGAAGGCTCTGCCAAAGTTGTCCATGAAAGATGCATTAAAATCTATCCACCCACCTGTTTCAGAAGATGAAGGCTACTTACAGCTTAGTACAGACCAAAGGGATCTGACCAACAGACAACTTATGAATAAAACCAAGCCTGCAAACAACTTCCACTTGAGAGGAAACTCCCAGACTTTAAAACTTCTTCAGTGAAGCTACATTTCAGCAAAGCATGAACCTTAACTGAGCTTCAAACACCAAAAAATGAAGCAAGTTGAGGGAGCTGCAGGCTCTGAAGAATTTTTGCCTGGTACAAAATCCTCAGTTGAAGACCAGAGAGCTGGTTTCCCCAGCATGCTGCTTTTGCAAAGACAAAAAACGCTTTGGCATCAAAACACACCTCTTTATAATCCACAGTAAAAGACCAAAGCTTTGGCAGTTATTAATTAATGCATTAATCTCAGGTAAATGTGGTCAGATGAGACTGCAAAGCATCACCAAACCTTGTCCAAAAAGATAAACCCCTATAGTCTTTTGATGGTCTTCTGGGGCACTCAAATTCAGTCAGCTGCCTTATGGCTCAGAATGAGGCAGTGCCACTTTTGGAAAGCCTGGAGCAAGAATTCCAGAACCACTGAAGCTGGAAGGCACCTCTGAAGATTGTCTGTGCCCAGCCATCTGCTCAACACTGACTGCTCAGGGCTATGTCCAGGGGTTTTTTTCCCCCTTTAGCATTTTTTTTTAATTTCTTCCTTGAAAATGTCTTCCTGTATGATTTTTTTTCTGACTGTACAGTAAGCATTACACAACCACCCCAAGCCCCCTCAAGAAACAAACACTTGAGGAACCAAGACTACTCTCTGGCATCCAATACTCATGTAACCTTCTTCATGATGCCAACAGAATCATGAAAATAAAAAGGACTTGCTAGAATAGAGCTACCTCTTACTCCCATCTCCAGCTAGGCTGAAATATTTACTGACTTTAGAAGTTTAACATTTCAACTTGTTTTAAACACCTTTTGACCACAAGAGACTTATCCGTAAGAGCATGACAGCATGTTACTTCTACTCAGCCCAAGTTATAAATGATATTTGACTTCATGCTAACAGGAAGATACCAACCTATCTCTTGTCCCAAGCGAGATGATTTCAGAGACCCTGCTGAGGACACGACAGCACAGCGACCCAAGTGTCCCACTGTTTCACTGAGGCTTTTCCCTGGCAGGTATTGCTGCCATTCAGAGGTACCAAAAGGACCATCTGACCTCTGTATCATGGTCACATTGACCCTGTCCCGCAGCTGGCACAGCAGCTTCTCTGGGCTGAGCTTAGCGTTCCTCTTTCCGTTGTAGCTCACGTTGTACTTGTTCATGGCCAGGTAGTTTTTCCTGACCTTCTGCAGCCTGGGTATGAGATTTCTGGATGAGCTGTCCTTATCCCATACCTTCCCAAAGGCTGCTTTCTTGGACTTTTCAGCTGCTTCAGAGGTGCTGCCTTTCACTTTGTTTTGGGTACCAAGCCACATTTTGGATACCTGCCCCAGTTCACTGGCTGCATCATGGAAAAGGCCTTGTGATTTAACCAAGTTCCATTTCTCCAAACTCCTGTGCCCCTGAAAATCATCACTGCTGGTCTTCAAAGGATCATAGTAGCTTCTTCTTGTTTCTCTCCAGAGGCAAACTGTCAGTGCTATCAGTATCACCACAAGAACACACATGAACTTTTTCAACACATTGATGTGAACCATAGTGCACGGTGCATCCAGATGGGACACTGGAAGCTGGCCCTGGGAAAAAGAAACAGCTCAGTCAGGGCTGCAGGTACAGGCACACACACACAGGTAAAGTCATGGAGATCTGCCTTCAGTGGGAGGGGAGAGAGGCAACATCAGGGTAATTCTAAAATTTCAGGCTGTTTAAACATCTCATTTCAAAGTCTACCACCTCAAACACCAATCAGAAAGACCTGAGCTGGCTATCAGCCATCACATGCTATGTAATGGTGAGGCTACTGCCACTCAAACCTTATTTCTACTCCTTTCCACAACTGACAGCCAAATTTAACATTGCCAGTATCATACCAGCAGGCAGGGTAAGTCTCCACATTGCTTTGCTTCATCTCCCATCCCTGACAGTCAACATCCAAATGCCAACAAATGCACTTCCAGAAATGAGTTTTCACTTGACCACAGGCTTTAATGCTAATAAAGAACATTATAAAGCATAGAACTGGAGAGAGAAAAAACGTTCTGAGCCCATGAGCACCAGGAGCTTCACCAGCCTGGTACTTTGGTGACCTTCCAGGGAAGTGCTCCAAGTCTGCAGTGGGCTGAGTACACTCTCAACATCAAACCTCACTGAACACCTGCTGGAAGCCAATTAAACCCCAGTAAGGTTTGGACCATATTTGGGCTCCTAAATGCACTTGCATGAACAATTATTCCAGGTAAGTTACCTCTGGAGAAAGCAAAGCCAGACACTGTTGTACAGCACTGCCTGTCTTCAATTGCACTGCCTCACACTAGCAGATACCTTCAGTTCCCATCATGCCATAAAAGGGGAAATCCAACAGGAGGACTGCCCAAAAAGCAGCTCAAACTAGGCTGATTTACAGGGAGCTGGTGTATAAAACATACACTGATGCATAAACACCTCACAAGCAGCACACAGGAACACAGAACAGCAGCTGCTCATTTCCCTGCATGGCTGCTCCAGATGTGTCCAAAAGCACAGGAACAGTGTGGAGACTGCAGGTGTCCTCAGGAGACAAACACAGGTAGATAGTGATCTATTACTCCCAGAGAGACACAACTTCCTCACTGAGTAACCTGCTGAAAGCAAACACTGCAATGCTGGGCTGCAGAGAGGTTACTGAGCTACAAACACTACCTGTGGATAAAGCAGCAGCTCTCCAACTCAAGTCATTTTTGGCAGATTTTCCTCCGTGGCCTTAAGCAGGATATCCCCAAATACAACACTTCTGTGATGTACTGAAGAGTTCAAGAAATACCTGCAAATAAAAAAAGGAAAAAAGAAAAACCTATTAAGGAAGAGTCTCAAAGTTCTAGGGATGAGCAAGAATTGCCTCAGATAAGCCTGGTGGTCCCAAAGAAGCTGTGACCAAGGCCTGGAAGGACAGCAGCAAATACATTAAACACCACATAAACATTTTAAATGCCTAAATGCCCACTCAAAATGGGCATCTTCGTTCTTTATCTGAAAGCTGCTCTCAGCTAAAGCAGACAGCAGCTCACAGGCTGCCTGCTCACTGGATACACCCATAATACAGTGAAGGAAATAACCTGAAATAAGGAAATACCAGTGCTTAACACAATGAACAGGGGAAAAGAAAGAAAAAGCTAACTTTTCCTAGGGAAATATCTTGCTGCCTATCCTGGAGTAATTCAGACACTCTTGCAGAGAAGGCTCCCTGCTTTTTTGGAACAAGACTGCTTTATAAAACATCTTAATCTGTAAGACTTCACAAAATAGATAAATGTGTTTTAGACTTTAGTTTCACTCTGTCAAGGAAATGCAGCAAGAGAAAGGGAGAATTGACAGTACTAGCTGAGAAATCAAGAAAATAGCTTGCTTTTACAGGAAGTCTGAGTCAATACAATGCCACATGAGCTAAATTACAAATTCTACCCTTTCCAGGAGTAAATACTAAATTATTAAAGCATCATAATGCTGACAACTTATTTTTTAACTTTATTAAGGAACAAAATTATTTTAGAGCACTCCACAATGAAAAAGCAAATATTGCTCTACCTCCAGTTCTTAACAACAAAAAAATGCAAGAAACACAAGTAATTCCAATAATTGAAATTATTTGCCCTGCCTTGACAAACTGTACAAATTTTCATTTCCAGAAATACAAATGTACTAGAAGGGCACGCTGAAGTCTTTTTGAACCAGGAGAGGTACAGCAGTGTGGAGAGGTGGGGCACCAGGAGGGGATGCAAGGGGGGGGTCACCAGGAGGGGATGCAGGGCACCCCTGTGCTCTGTTCTGTGATGGCTAAGGGTCCCCAGTGTTTATGGTTCCTCCTCTCCTGCTGTGGTCTCTCAGACTGTCCCTGCTGCCTCCTGCCATCCCCTCTGCAGCTGGGACAGCCCACTCGGGGCCTGCCCAGTGCCACAGAGAACAGAAAGCAGCACATGAAGGCAGCTGGCTGTAAAGCCATTTGCTGATGGGGAGAGCAGTGCTGAGTCAGCCTCCACACTGTCAGGGCTCTGCTGGCAAACCACACACACAGCAACGCTTTCCAAATCCAGAGGAACACCAAAACACAGCTGTCCAGTGTCAGCTCTTCCTACCGACCTCTGAGACACCTCCCTCTGCCCACAGCCCCCAGCCTCTGAACCTTTTATTCACACTATTTCCCTTTACAAGGGGCAAGGATCTGGCTTCCAGAAAATGCAACTGAGACCTTCTGTGCAGGGAGGACAGAGCCTCAGTGCTGTCAGAGGTGCCCAGAGCCTACCACCCTGCAGAGCAGAGGTCTTTGCAGGACTCTGTCCTTCCTTTGACTTAAAAAGGTCTCCTGAGGGGTTTCCAGGTGGAGGTGATAGCAGGCACATCTCAGTAACCATTAGTTTTGCTTCTCACACTTGAATTATCTAGAAGGGTGGCAGGTTCATTACAGTGAGGCAACTTTACAGCTCTGCAGGTTCCTGCTGGGACACTCCTTGTGGTAGTGCACAGCACAGGATGCCCAGCAAGTCACAACAACTCCTCTCCTTTTGAGGCCACTCAAAGGCACCTGGAAAACTCACTTTCTGCACAAATTATCCCCACCTTGGACTGTACACGCTGCTGCAATGTGAACAGTTAGTTTGCTTTGATTTTCAAGCTGGCAAAGTAGGTTCTGCAAACATGTTTTAGCAGAGCCACAACATTTCAAGATACCTTCTGCTCACTATGGATGCTTCGCAATTCAGCTTAATTATTACTACCACATCACATGATGGGATTTTATTTTATTTGCACAAGCAGTGCAAGCCCTAAGATGGGGTCCCTCTCAAGCATTCTGCCACCAAAACTGTTGTGGAGAAGGAAAGCATCTGCTCTTCCTGGCAAAGCAGGACAGCCCACAAGTGGCCACTCGTGTGCACTTCTGTCTGGCAGTGGTCAGTACAAAGGTAGTTTTCCAAAGGTGTTGGAAGCTTGCCACGTACACAAAACACAGTGTCAGCTATGAGTATGAGGAAAGAAAGGACAAAAAAAAATTAAATTCCCCAAACCTAGAAAAAATACTTAAATAGCTGTCTTATTGAAACCCAGAACCTAACATAGCTGTTGGATACAGCACACAGCAAGTCCTTCAAGGGTAAATTAATCACATGCAGAGAACACAAGTGAGGGATGTGATATCTTCAAGGCAGTCAGGGAACTACATTCTGTCCACACACTCTTATTCTTGACCTTTACTGTCCAATTATGTCACTGGTCTCAGGTCTTAACCAGCAAAGAACACAGGAGTATGAAAATCCTGCTCCTCTGGTGTCCCAGAGGCTGCTGTCTGCCCAGGGAGCTGCATCCAGCAGTGCCATGGCAGAGAACACTCAGCAATCCTGATTTCCACATCCCAAAGCAGATTTACCCTAAAAATGCTAACAATATCCTCATCTCAAGCAGCCTTTACCTGTTTCCTACAGCACCTGACAGCCGGTACACAGACAACCACACGAGTAGGGACAAAGGTATGATGATATTTCTTCCAGGAAATGCACACAGCTTCCCAAAAGTTGTGTCATCAGCTGCACCAATGCCCATCCTCTGCACATTTGTTTAATTGGCTCTTGAAATCACTCTCACCTTCCAAACAGCTTGAGGCAATGAACTCTGCCAGCTGCCAACAGTGCACAGACAATCCCTCCCTCCCTCTGCTTTTCCAGGCTCTGTCCCACTCGTTCCAACTCCTCCTCACACAGCACCTTTTCCACATTTCAGATGCTCCTGGTCAACCTTCCAGCACCGTCAGCAGAGTGTGACCATCCCTCAAGGCAGGCACACCGGCCACCCCTGTTGAACACACTCACACCACATGGTCCAGCAGCAACACAACAATGGGGCTGATTAATTCTCCTTGTGAAACTTCCTGCCTTTATTTCCCTTCCTGACCACTTCTGAGCCCTGAGCTCTACACAGTCTGCAATGACTTCAGGTTGTTTTGCAAGCTGTCCCTGGTGCAGGAATAAATACATCTGAAAGAGCATTCTCTTACTCCTGCTAGCAGAAGTCTCCTTTGCCCCTGTGCTGTCCAGCCACCCAGGATCAGCAGACTCCTCTGCAGCTGCTCAGGGTTTCTCCTGTTTCCAGCAGCCCCTGTGGTGACAAAGACAGCCAAGCTCAGAGATCAGTCCTTCCTCCTCTCTGCTGCAGAGCCCTTGGCAGCATTCGAGAGTGGGGATCCCAGAAAATCCCTGTGGGATTTCTATGATGTTGTGAAACCTGACTCTTTGCTTTCCCCCCTGCCAAGCAGACACTAATCCACGTCAGGAACTGTCTCATCCCACGACACCTTAGGGTGGCTTTTTCTGAGGCTCCTGGTGAGCAATCTCACCAAAACCTTGAAAATTCAAGGTCTCCCTCTCTCCATGCTTAAGACCTTCTGAAAATGAGAGAAGAGGAAAGACACAGATTTGAAATGTGACCCTTCTGCAAACACATGATGAGCCTTCTTCATTAGTTCTCACATAGTCTACAGGTGTTAATTTTATTATGTTTACTGGTCTGAAGCCATGGATCCTACCAGAGTCCCTCTGAAATGTAACCATGTCAAGTAACACCTTTAATTTAATTTAAATGATGACTTGAGAGATGTAACCCCAGGGTTACAGGATATCAGGAATCACATTCACCTGGTCTACCACACCTCTCCTTAGTCCTGCCATTCATACATCAGCATCATTCAGCTGCAGTTTTCTTCTCTCTGAAAAGAGAGCACAAAAGCTTTTTACTTTTGCAAGTTTTTCCTCATTTCTTTTTTTTTAGATAATGTGCTAACTATTTCATATTTAAACTCAGAGCATTTACATTTCTTTCCAGATTTCCTTCATTTATGCATTTCTATCTGCACCCACAATGCTGTGCCTGCCCACAAAGTAGGAAAGCTTTGTTCCCAACTTTTACTGATGTATTTTTAAATGTTTTTATGCTGCCCTATATGAACATTTTCTACTTAACTACACCTTTCTATTCTTTTTTTGGTTCATTCTGAATGCTAACCCTTTCCTCCACCCAACGCCCTCTGTAAAGAATCTCTGAAAAGAGAAGTGGTTGGTACCAAAGGCTGAATAAGTTCCAATGTGTGTGGAAAAGAGGAAAGACATGAAAATGTAAGTCAGGAATTCTTCTGTTCAAAATAACATACTCAAGAAAACCTAACACAAGAATAAATTTGGATTCAAAAGGTAACCTCCAAACTGTATCTGCTCTGAAAATTCCCTATTTCTGTCCTGAGGAAAAAATATTTATCATGACCCTTAACAGTAACAAACAAACTATGTTCATGCCATTTTGCAAATGAAGAAGCTACACTTTCCACATGCTGGATACACCAGATGAAAGGCAATAAAACATTTTCCAAGCTAAAGGTCTGTCCCTCTGGAGCCAAGTTTCAGATATCTTTTCTCTCTGATATCTTATTTAGCTCAGCCTGTTAATTCAACTGTGTGTATCATGACTTTGTAAATATATAAGCAGGGAAGGCTTGCTTCTAGCAATTCTTGGTTTCTTTCCAAAATATCACTGTGCTGTGAAAATAAAACATCTGTTGAGCCATACATTTAGGCATTTCCAATGTCACCAAACAGAATGGGGAGAATGAGGAAACTTTACACAGAAATTTGAGGAAAAAAGCATTGGTTAAATTTCAGGTGACACATTGGGGAGCTATACAGGTCACTTGTAATGAAATAAATCATTCCATTAGTCCTGCCTGCATTAATCTTTGCATGTGCCAGTGAAAATATGCTGCTATCACAGCTGAAAAAAAAAAAATCTTCCTGGGAGAACAGGAGAGGCGGATTCTGGGGGAGGCACGAGGGAAAGTTTAAGCATGTGTTTCATTTTGGTTTTACATGTCAACAAACACTGGCATTTAATATAAGTCAGAAGCCTTTATTTCTGACTCTGTCAGCCCTTTACTCCTGCTCTTTTCTATGTGCCATGTTGGTTTTGGAGGGTGGCTGTGCCTAGCAGCTCTCTGCTTCCCCTTATAACTCATTACATAAAAAAGCAGCTGCTTTTTTATATATAATAACTATTTTGTATGGATCTAGTACCTTAACCATTGTATACATGTATTCAATTTTTATCATGAAAGTATTCTAAATAATAATAATATTTATATATTAAAACTGCTTTCTGAGTCACAAGATGCCATATAAATCCAGGATATCAGATTTATCAGTGCTTCATCTAATTAAAGGTTTACATTTTAGTCTTGCTGTATAGGGTGCTTTTAGTGGCTCATAATACAGATTCCAGTTAGGAAATATACTGAGGCAAATAAAGAGTGAATGTAGAGGAGCATGCTTAGCATCCTGTTTGGTGGGTTACTCACCCAGAGGGACAGAATGTTTATGAACTCCAAAACAGGACCCAGCCCTCAGCTGGTGGGACCAGCACTTCTCCCTTACAAACCCTGCTTCCTACCCCACAGACAGACAGACAGACACCTGCTAAATATTCCTTGTTAACAGTAATGGACAAGAGAACTCACCTGCACGGGGAGTCTTCATGCCCCAGGCCAGCTCTGCTCTCCTGCAGCTGCTCCCAGCTGGATGCAATCTGCCATGGCAGCTCGCAGTGCAGCTCAACACACAAGCCATTTCCTGATGGGCACATGCCCATGGGGGTCTCACTCAGCAGGATACCTGGAGACCACTCTTAGGAACAAACCTTTTCCATTTCTAGAACTGCCAGTTTCACCTTCAGCTGGAGAAAAGTACGGGCATGAACAGCACTACCTCCTAAAAATGCTGTTTTTTCTTCCATACCCAGAGCCCCAGTGTCAGGGCTTTACAAGTGGGGATTTCATCATTAGTCAGCTTTATCACAACCATTCCCACACTGAAGCCAACAGCAAAAATCCCCCTACCATGCCCAGTTTTAAAGTCCAAGATGCAAACCATTTGACTATTTACTTTACATAGAACATCACACCTTCAAATCATTCCCCACCAAGCATGTGTTCCTCTGTGACGTTTATCCTCCAAAATGAACAGGACACTGCCTTATTTTAAATTAACAGCATATGGCAGGTCAACACCTCAACACCTCTGCAAATATCGCTGTGCACCAAGACATGTAACTGGTGTTCTGTGGCCCCAGGACAATAAAATTCCCTGTGTGCCAGCTGCAGGGACACTACCCTGCAGGATAACACATCTGACACCACCCCTTTGCAGATGAGGACAATGTCTGTCTGTCTGTCTCAAGGACAATGCAGTAACTTTTCACAACTTGCTCAAAGAAGACTCTAATTTAACCTAAGACCTAGTCTTTCACTAAGTGAAATGAACTTGCACAAGTCTGGATCTACCAATGCTGGTTTTCAGTCCAAGAGAGCTACCAAGATTTATTTTTCTCTACATACTCAGAGTTCATCCCTGTTGGGGGATGGCAGAGCTGGCACTCAACAAACAGCAGTGTTCTACCACACCAACTTCACTGGAAGAAAGAAGCAAAGTGTCAGTTCCAGCCATTGACTTCAGAAAGCCCATTCAAACAATGTTAAGCAAAACATTTCCTGCACTGTGTTTAAAATAAATTGTTTTTCACTAAGAAATCCGTGTTTTATAATGCAAGGACACATACAGATGTGAAGGCTGTTTATCAAAAAGTATCAGGTGCTGAAAAACAGGCAGGTCCTGATGGCAATTAAGATAACATTATAAAGGACACCAGATAGAAGCCAGCAAAGGAAAACACTACCAGAGAAATTGTAAAAACAATAATGTAACAAGCAGTTCAATTATTTATCCAGCAAAAATCAAAGTAGTTCCTTTTTATGAACTTGAGGCATAGAGGACAAATGGAAACTTCAAAATTAGAGTTAATTATTTTATTTCTGCTAAGAAAGGAGGCAGGAAAAAAACCCATGTTACGATAATCAGATGTTTTTCCACATATCAAAACCACTTGGTTTTGGTCTCCACAACCCCAGCAATACAGAAGATTAATTGATACCACTTCTACCACACATCACCATTTCCACTGGTTAAACAGAGTGAAACAACCAGAGGAATGCCAGGCATAACTCAACACAAGTAGTTGAGAAAGCCCAGGTCCAAGCCCAGTGTCAGGCTGCAGCAGATAAACACGAATCATGTACCCCAAAACCCTGGATACTGTTCCTTGTTGAAGCAGCAGCCAGGTTCTCAAAAGTCAGAGTATCTGCAGTAGCAGATGTCAAATATCTTTTGGCAAAGCACATCAAGTCACATCCTCCCACAGGGAGCTCTTGGCATGGCTGAACTTCAGCAGTAACAGCAAGAGCTGCCCTGTTCTAGTGTCTGGGAACACTGTGCTCCTGTATCAGCATTTCAAATGTATCTACTGTCAATAATCCCACTAAAGTATTGCCAGGGAAGGAACTTTGCCTAAATTCAATTCAATTTTATAAATCATAAGCCATATAAATGTATTACACAAAACTAGGTGCCTAGACATACTGAAAGACATTTAAAGAGCTTAAGACACTCCTCCACTCTCGAAGTTTCACACACGTATGTAGAAGAACAGAAAACACTAATGCAACCTTCCTGAGAAAGCCTGCATTTGAAACCTCCTCGCTATTTTCTTCCCTCAGCATCCTCCCAGATGCTTAGGAAAGAAAAGCAGGTCCAGCAGTACCTCCTACCCAAACCCAAGATTATGTCCTCTGCTTAAGGACCCAGCATGGAGAACACTGCAGGAACAAAGAGGTGCCTCTCTGATGTGCAATGCCCACTCTTTGGTGGGGTGGAGGACTGGCAAAGCCTAGCACCACCTCCAGCTGGAAGCTCCCAAACAGAGCATGTCACCCATCTGGCAGCTCTGTTGTGCCACGTACATCACAGCCAAAGAATTCCCTTTTTTCTCCCCACTTACATACCCTGACAGCATCCCAGTGATGGATCAGTGTTGCCATGGCATGAATTGATCTGAAACATGTCTACACAGTTGCTGAAGGGAGGAAAACACCATGCCTGAAACACATGTAAAGCTCTCTGGGTTTCTGAGAGGCCAAGGATGCAATAAAGGCCACATTAATGTCTAATCACTTCCTCCAGAGTTTTTAGCCTGCTTTCTTCACCATCAGAAAACCAGGTGGAAAGCCTGGAAAGCACTACCTAGCTTCTGCTCCCAAACACATCACTCACTTCCTACAGTCAGCACTTCAGAACCAAGTCTGGCAGCAGAGCTTGCAGATGACACATGGATGGATCCATCATGGATCTGAAACGCACTCCTTGAAGGAGGCAGATTTCTGCCCCCTCCCATTTAAGACATTTCATGTACATGAGACTTTGAGAGATCTAGACAGATAATTCCAACAAAAACAGAAGTTACTCCCTAAAGCAATGAAGGAGGCACCAGACATTTTTTGTACCTCCTCCATTAAACATTGGCTCTCATACTGCCCTTAGTATAACATGTTTCTGCAGTCTTAGAAAGAGGCTCTAAGACTTAAAAAAGCTCTCTGAGCCTCCCAGAGCAATGAAAGGTCCTCATCTTCTCCTACAACCTGCCAGCCGTATGCTGGAAGAATGGATGTGATACAGGAGGAAGGATGATTCATGGAGGAACGGGAGGAGGATGTTACTGCCAAGGGCTGACTCTTGCTCAGAAGCACACAGCTCCTTCTGGCCACCCGGTACCACCTGGCCACAAAGACACCAGACTTCCTCCTTGGTAAAGGGAACTCTCCCCAGACACAGAAGTCAGACATCTGTCACATCTGGAATCGATGCACACCAGTGCAGACAAGGAGCCTGCAGAAATCCAGCAGAGATGTTCCACATGCTGGTGGTGGCTCCCAGGACACCCTGAAGGGACACCATGCCTAACTGCTTTGGAGCAAGATCTGATGGGTGTTTCCAACAGCAGTGATCTCACTCAGTCCCACAACATCCCACAGTGTTCCAGACCAGGAGAGGATCTGATGCCGCCTCTAGCACAAGGCCATTTCTTCTTGCTGCTCAATATCCAATCCAAGCTCTAAGTGGAAAAATCACTGGGCTTAAAGTTCACTGAACATTAAACAAGGCTGACTTTTGACCTGGCTCAGACCAAGTTTTAGGTTAAAAGTTACTCATTCATTTTATTTAAACAAATCTGCCTACCTTCATTCCAGTACACTGCTAAGGGACAAGTTTTTAAACACCTCAGATGGGAATGTGACCATAGTCTCATGGGAACTGATCTTAGGTGACCCTTCATTTGGTGGGCCAGGCCAGGTCCATTGGTCTGACTCAGGATGCCACAACCTTCCCAGAGAGAGGTCCCCAAGAGAGCTTCAGGGGTCTCTGGCAATCCCTGCCCCCTCCAAGAGACAGCTTCAGGGGTCTCTGGCAATCCCTGCCCCCTCCAAGAGACAGCTTCAGGGGTCTCTGGCAATCCCTGACCCCTCCAAGAGACAGCTTCAGGGCTCTCTGGCAATCCCTGACCCCTCCAAGAGACAGCTTCAGGGGTCTCTGGCAATCCCTGACCCCTCCAAGAGACAGCTTCAGGGGTCTCTGGCAATCCCTGACCCCTCCAAGAGACAGCTTCAGGGGTCTCTGGCAATCCCTGGCCATTGCAAGAGACAGCTTCAGGGCTCTCTGGCAATCCCTGGCCGCTGGGTAACCTCAGCAAGGGGCAGCCTGTGGCCTGTGAGTGATTTCAGCTCAGCTTGTGAGGTTATCCTGGGCCAAGTCAGAGACAGGAGCACCATGTGGCAGTTCCACAGAGACAGCCTTTATTGTCCAACAGCTCTGCAAAGGGGAGCCAGAACCGGGCAGGAGCTGGGGTTTTTATGGGGGAAAGCCAGGGTGGTACCAAGGGGGAAAAGCCAATGGGTTACAAAGAACCAACACAGGCATCAAAGCATGGTGGGGTAGCTGGAGCTCTCACCATGACAATAGAGGATGGTCTTGTTCAAGAGGTATCTCTCCAGAAGAGGCTTGAGATAAACTTCCTACAGGTCCCTCAGGGCACATTTCTCCAAGGGAAAGCCTTGGCAGGCTCACCTGCCTCCACACCTTCATCTCCCCCTTCCATCCTTTTCCTGCCAAAAGAAACCTTAACAGTAAGGTACCTCACTCTCCTCTCCACAAACTCCCCTCCATGTTAACACGATGGGAACTTGGCTGCTACCACACTGTGCTTTAAGCTTGCACAGGCGTCTGAAGATAAAAACTGCTGGTTATCTCCTGACAAGAGGCACACGATTTTTTTTCTCGCTCCTCATGCTGTCGTACCGGTATCCCCTGAGGCTAAACTGGTAGAGAATCCTCAAGCCCTGGGTATGCTGGTGAGAATAACTCCTCTCATGTAGGAAGATCCACAGCACCTTACTATTAAAGCAAAGAAAAACAGCAGAGCAGCCTAGCAAAGTTGTCAAACTATTTTAAGATTTTGAATTTGCATTTCACTGGTCTTTTTGTGGGGTTTTTTTTGGTTTGGGGCTTTTTTCTAATTATTTTTGAAGAAACAGGCGAATTCAGCTAAAGTAATTCTGTTCCACTGAAACATGTACTCTCTCTTGGATTTGTAACAGATACACATACTTAGATATTTACATACATAGCCTCATCTATTTTTGAGTTAAGAAATAATGCATTCATAATACAGTGACATTTCAGAAATAAAAGCTTTTTCATTAGCTGTCCAACATGCATATAGGCCAGAGTTGTATGTTGTCAAAAGAAATTACTTTCACATGTCATTAGGTCTGAATTTTTCTTCCTCACTCCAAAGTAACAAATATAGAAATCACCAGTTAAAATGCATCAGCCTGATGAATATTTTCTGAAGTCTGCTAGAACAGTAATTTAAGGGTATTTTCCCCAAAGTACAAGGCTAAAAATTGAAAGCCAGCCCTAGTTCATAGGTTCTGTATCATGTTTGGATCTCTGTACAGCATTATCTGGGGGCATCTCAAACAGGGGAAGCACCAGTGCTTCAGAAAGTTGCAGCAAACCTCCCATGCCATTTTTGGGAGGTCTTTAAAAGCTGACTGAACATCAGAGTTCTTTCAGATATCTTGGCAGATTATGGCCCAAAGAGGCGAAAAACCACTTGTGTGAGAGCAGAGCAGAAATTCACCACACACACTGGTCTGGAGGCGTCGGCTCCCCCAGTGCCTTGGACGTGGCCATGGTGCTGCTGCTGCCAGGGCAGATAAAAGCCCCAGGTTCTGCTCTCTGCCCCAGCCCAGGGAGCAGCAGTGCTGGTGCTGAGCACCCATCACCAACCACAGTGATTTGTGGAAGAGCTGTGCTCAGAGCCCAGGGACACACAGCGCTGCCTGGAACACGGGAGGAGGCTGGAGGTGCTTTACGGTGCTTTCCTACTGTGTCAGCATCTCCGGGACTCTCCTCTTCCCCTAAGGCCTCTCACATCCCTTCCAGCCTCCACACTGCACAAGGGGATGCCCTAATTTCTGTGGCCTTTCCCCACAGTGCAGCAGCAGGAAGCTGCCTTTCTGCCTTGGTGAGATCCTATCACCAGCTCTCCTTCCACCCTCCACTAACCTTCCTTCTTGGAAGTCCTTTCCTTCAGTTTTGGTCAGCTTTTCCCCCAGCTCTCCCAGACCCACTGTATGCAGTGCCTGTTCATCCAGGCACTTCACAGCTTGTGCACAAGTCCCACAAAATGCTTCAAGTGCAAAGCAGTGTCTGAGATGACTGTCACCTGCCACAGCACAGACTTCAGACAGAGAAGCCACGACTACACAAAAACAGAGCGCCCACCAGTGTGGAGAGAGGCCACAGAGCC